TCTGTTAGGATGCTTCTGTCAGAGCGGGGTGTCTCGCATGATGAACCGAGGCGCATACTCCCTGGCTGAAAACCCTTCTCTTGTGCTTTAAACGAATCCCAAACCCCCCAGCTTGGCCTGCCTCGTTCCACAGAGCCCAGGCCTGGCCCTCTTTCCCATCCACATTTAGGGCCTGCTCCCCCTCATCCTGTGCTCCCCTGTGCTGATGACACCCTGCGGGCTCCTCCCACGTGAGGAAGACTTTCCAAATCCATGGCCTTCACCCCTGCTGCCCAGAATGCTCTTCTCGCCCTTGGATGGCCCATTTTTCTTCAGTTCAGCTTCAAGGTCACCCCTTCGGAGAGGCTGACCCTGACCATGGTCTTCCACTTATATTCTCTGTCTTCATAGTGTGCTCTTGCTTTTCCTCACTGTGCTTGCCTACCAGAACTTGTCATTCTTTATTTGCTTATCTCTGTGTTTATTATCACTTCCCCACACTAGACCCTCCTTCCTGAAACGGCAGGGACAATACCTACCACGTTCACCACTGTTTCTGGTGTCAGGCACACAGTAGTTCCTTGGTAAATATCTGTCACCTGAACGAACAGTGCCTCACCCAGTGCTTAAGGTCTTTGCTTTCTATTCTAGAAAATACTTATAGATTTGAAAGGAGCGCTGTGTATACGTGTGGAAGTATCTCCCAGACATCAGATGAATGAGATGTGTCTTTAGGATGAGGGCATTCCAAACCCTTTTCGCAACCAGGCGTTCCTTCCTCCGGTACTCAGTTGAGGTATAATTTACATACCATATATGGTACATATTTGAAATGAGTTTTACAGGGGCGCCCGGGTGGCGCAGTCGGTTAAGCGTCCGACTTCAGCCAGGTCACGATCTCGCGGTCCGTGAGTTCCAGCCCCGCGTCGGGCTCTGGGCTGATGGCTCGGAGCCTGGAGCCTGTTTCCGATTCTGTGTCTCCCTCTCTCTCTGCCCCTCCCCCGTTCATGCTCTGTCTCTCTCTGTCCCAAAAATAAATAAACGTTGAGAAAAAAAATTTAAAAAAAAAATGAAATGAGTTTTACATATGCATACATCCAAGGAGGTCTAGATGGAATGTTTGTAGCTCCTTTTAGGGGAAGGCTGGCAGGTGTCCCCTTTCATTCAATACCCTCCAAAAGGTAACCGCTATTATAATTTCTATTTACATAGGTCAGTTTTGACTGTTTCTTAACATCATAAATGGAGTCATACATCACGTCTATCTTTTCACGTCTTTTTACTCAAGAGTATGATTTTGTGGGGCACCTGGGTGGCTCAGTTGGTTAAGCATCCGACTCTTGATTTCAGCTCAGGTCACGATCTCTCAGTTCCTGAGTTCAAGCCCCACACCGGACTCCTTGCTGGCAGTACAGAGCCTGCTTGGGATTCTCGCTCCCTCTCCCTCTCAGGAGAAACAAACCTTAAAAAAATAGGGTTTTGAGATATATCCGTATTGTTATATATCTCAGTAATTTGTGTTTCTTTTTTTAAAAATTTTTTTAACGTTTTATTTATTTTTGAGACCGAGGGAGACAGAGCATGAACAGGGGAGGGGCAGAGAGAGGGAGATACAGAATCTGAAACAGGCTCCAGGCTCTGAGCCGTCAGCACAGAGCCTGACACGGGGCTCGAACTCACGGACAGTGAGATCGTGACCTGAGCCGAAGTCGGCCGCTTATCCGACTGAGCCACCCAGGCGCCCCAGGAATTTGTGTTTCTATTGCTTTGTAATTCTCTTCTGTGCGAATGTACTGCAGTTCAGTATTCATTCTACAACTGAAGGACATTCGGGTTGTATCCAATTAACGGCTATTATAAGCAATGCTCCTGGGGACATTCCTGTACGGGTGTTTTGGTAGACGTGAGAACACCTATCTGCTGCTTGTATGTCCTGGGGCCCTGGAATGGGATCGCTTCCAGATTGGCATATGTTTGACCTTCAAACAGCGTTCCCAGGTGGCAGTGACAGTTTAGTTCGCCTCGTTCCATATCGTCACCAGTGCTTCATAGTGCCTCGTGTTTAATTTTGGCCATTCGGATAGGTGTGTGGTATACCTCCTGGAGGTTTTGATTTGCATTTCTCTGATGAGAAAGGACGCTGAATACCTTTTTAATGTTTATGAACCAGATGGGTATTTTGGGCTTGGGTGTGTATGCATGAGGTGCCTGTGTATATGGAGCACCCATTTAGGTAGTTTGACCATTTTTACAAGACGACTTGTCTGCCTTTTTCGTATTGATTTGCAGGAATTCTTCTCGTGTTTTAGTTCTGCGTCATTTAAAAACTATATGTATTGCAGGGGTGCCTGGGTGGCGCAGTCGGTTAAGCGTCCGACTTCAGCCAGGTCACGATCTCGCGGTCCGTGAGTTCGAGCCCCGCGTCAGGCTCTGGGCTGATGGCTCGGAGCCTGGAGCCTGTTTCCGATTCTGTGTCTCCCTCTCTCTCTGCCCCTTCCCCGTTCATGCTCTGTCTCTCTCTGTCCCAAAAATAAATAAACGTTGAAAAAAAAAATTTAAGAAAGACAACACAGAAATTATACTACACGGACAAAGAGTCATTCACCAGGTATATTTGAAGTCTAAGCTCTTTTGAGCTATACACGTGCACAAATGATTCAGTTGATGGAAATCTCCCCTTCCCCTCCATATTTAAACTTTTCAAACTTAAAATAGTGATAAAGAGATTTGCATAATGTGCGTCATGGAAATGCTGAGGCAATTCTGACTTTCACAGTGCAGGAGGCTCTGCTGAAACCCTTCCAGGAGTCCTTCCAGTTTCTTACTGATCTCCTGGGAAAAGTTCCTCCTCCCCCCTCCCCAAACCCAGCCTAATGAAAGAAGTACTTGACCTGAGACAGATTAACATCGAAACTTTGCAATAAATGTCACCAAGAGTAACCAGTTCGGTCATACGCTCCACTGTGTTTTTATTTTGTGTAACACAGAATGGTCATTTCAACTTTCACTAAATTTGGCTGCAAATGACTGATGGTACCTGCTCTAAAACACGTCAAAAATTATCTCCAAATATTTTTCTCAGCCAGATCTCCTTAGAACTTGCATTCTGAAAATTCTGAATAGTTTAGTAAGTCAAATGACCCTCAGAGGACTGAGAGATTCAGGACAAAATGGCCGACTGCTGCAGCTCTCCGTTAGTCTCAGGAGCTCAGAAAATATTTCTTCCACTAGAGGGCAGCATTTCTCCACTCCTAAGTCTAATCTTTCATTTGTTAAGGAAAAACCAAAAACCTCCACAGCAAAGGAAAGTCAAAGCATTTGCTTATTATACACTCCTCAGATTTTATTTTTGAAAGGAGCCTTCATTTTTCGTATGGCAACTCAGGGTTTTACAAGCAATGCTGTCCTCAGTTTCACCTGTACTGTGTCCAGTACTATATTGCTATATTCACAGTAGAACGGACTTTAATTTCTGAGTGATCAGTCTGTTTTAAGTTTCTGATGAAACTTACATACACCTTAGTCAAAAACCACAACAATCCTTCCATAAGTTGGCTATGTTCTTGTTCTTGTGTGTTTCTCTGAGGCTTGGGTAATGAAAGTATTTCCCCTCTCCATTGTAACTGGCGTTTGCATCTAAAGTAATTCGTTAAATGTACAGGAGTAGATGAGGCCTTGCACATATAGCAGAAGGTAATGGTTTTATAGGTGTATCTTCTGTAATGCACTTCGGGCTACAGAAATAGAAATATCACATGTGACGAAAACAAATGTTTTTGAGCAACATGGCCATTGCATGAGTAGGATTGGTATACGTTTATCTACTATCCTTTCCTTTTTCAAATGCTCAGTGGCTGCTACGTTCTGGTGATTTAGCTTCATCCAAATCGTCTACAACGGACACTTGCACCTTGCCTTTATTTAAAAACAAGTGTTCTCGATAGCAAAGATGTTGGCTAATCATTTACATATTGGCATGAGAAGTTTTGTGCCCTTTCAAAATTCAGCATTATCCATAATAGAGTGTAATATTATCAGATTATCTGTATTAGTATATGAATGCATTCATAAGCAATGCACGTATCATGTTTGTAAGCAGCTAATGGCTGAACAGTCACTAAATAAAAAACATCCAGATTTTAAAAGCACAGCTGAAACATTTGTACAAATATACAAAGAGAAAAAAACAATCATTCAGACACCATGAAACTTTTATAATAAATAGGTTTGTCTGAAATCGGTCTCTATCACCCTGGACAAGCCTCCCCAGTGAGGCTGGGAAAGTTCTATACGGAAGTGGTGTTCAAAATCTACTGAGGAATATCTTTGGGGCCAAGCTCAGTGCTGCCTCCAGGAATTTTAACAGAGCTATGAAGTATTGACTCAAAATAGTGGATATACCCAGACTTTTTGAGCTGGAGGATGCTAGTAAGTTTTCTAATCTAGATAGGACATGGCTGGATGCTGACAATCTGTGAGTTATAGTATATCCTCGAATCATGAAAATAAATGCTGGTGATCATGCATGTCCTGGGAATGTCGGGATGCAGAGGACTGAGTGAGACCAGATAGGGATATCTCATGCAGTCAAAGTCAAGTTTACTTATGGTCCTACTTAAGTGGCCAGGAAGAAACAACGCACACACGTCAGGACTGGGACTGAAACAGATCACAAACAACACAGGTGCTATTTGTTACTGATGTCTCTGGCTTGGATCAACAAGAGAGAGTGAAGATATAGGCTGTGCTGATTCTTTAATAAGAAAATACTACTTTTTTTTTTTTTCTAGAACCTTCTAAATAATGGATTATGCTTGATGGGTATGATATGATCAGGAAACATAATCACCTTTTCCTAGCCCTTTTGTCCGAGAGGCTTGATTACAAGGAAGGAATCTCAAACAACCAAACACCCAGGGATTGAAAGGCAATTATTTTTTTTTTTCGACAAACAAACAACAGAGGGAAAAAAAGCATGATAAAGAGGAGACAGATATTATCGTTGAGGCGGAGCGGTGAGCTCAGTTGGACACGGAGGGTGGCAGGCCAGGACGCCGGGTTTGGATGATTTTTGGCTTTGGGGAAGTCTTTGGATCCTCTTCTTCCTCTATGTCACTGTCACACACGTGCACGACGACACTTGGGGTGGACTCAGTCCCTGCATGGAGCTCATACTTCTCTCCTGAAAAGCAAGAAAAGCGGAGGTGATAAAGCGGAAGGGAGCCCGGAGCAGATTCTTCGGCAAATTTCCTTCTGCAAGGAAGAAGACAGTGTCACAGTGTCTCAGGAAGCCTGGGTCTTATCCAAGAATGGCGGGGGGCGTTGGAAAATGGAGTGAGATCACTCTGTCATTGTGTCCCTGTTCTACCACCTATAACCAGACAACCCTGAGTGGGCCACTCACCCTCTTGGAGCCTCAGCACTCTCAACTGTAAACTTCAACACGGTCGTAGCCACAACCCACAGGACCGTGGTGATGACATAATAGGTCTGGTAGGGAGTTCTCAGTTTCTTCTGTTTCCCATCATTGTTGCTAATTGCTGAGTGACCTTGAGCCAACAGCTTCACTCGTTCACCTTCTGGACAGCACAGTCTCCAAGGTCTCCTCCAGCCGCATACTTCTTATGGCCAGAGCTGCCCCAGGAGGGAATAAGGCAGGATCATCACTTGTCTGGGATTTGCGGTGGTTACTGGGGGATGGGGTTCGATGGCTGCCGAGGTCCCTTCAAGTTATAAGAGTCTGTCCTTCTTGACTGGCTCATCTTATAGTCAGATGGCTGTTAAGCTCACTGGCTTCGTGCTTTTGTTTTATCTCAGGAGGTATTTACTGAGCATTCCCCATGGGCTAGCCTATTGCTGGTGATAAGGCTACAGGCACAAGAGCACAGCCCTGCGGCCACATGCAGACACAGGAAGTACCAGAAGATACCATGGTAAGCACTAGCGTGGCAAAATATGTCAAGGACTGTGGGGCCAAACTGTAAGGAGAAAGTGACACTGAAAGGCTTCCCAGTAGAGGCGACGATTGACGTGGGTATAAATGACAAGTCGAAGACCTCCAGGCGGTCTCCATCTGCATGCTTTAACTTCTCAATTTAACTGTTGACACACTCATCATCTTCTGACATCCCAACCTTCACTTCCCATCCTTCACGATGGGGAAAAATCTAGACACAGACTGCCGCATCCTCGCTCCTACTGATAAAGGAAATATTCAACTTTCACGCTTGTGGGCTCTGCCCCTGGGCTCCCAGGGAAGCTATATTTAAAAAAAAAAATTTTTTT